CCGGGGCCGCCCGGGGCCGCGGGGAGCGCGCGCGGCGCCGCGGGAGCCTCTCGGTGCGGCCGTTGAGCGCCTTTACCAGCCGGGCTCGTGGGCAACGCGCCCGGTTTAACGAGGCGGTTTTGCTCCGGTCCTCGCCAGCTCCTGGACACGCGTCTATTTATTTAATTTATTTATTTTATCTATTCATTTATTTTTTCCCCGTATCYTCAGGCCTTGCGGGGACTTTGCCTCATCCCGCTCCACTCGCCCTTCTTTTCCTCCCATCGCAGTGACTAATGGTTGGATACSGCTCGGTTAGCAGGAAAAGCAGGTTAAGCCTCTCGCTAGCAAAAAGCTCAGCTTTTATTTTTCATAATTTCCTTGCAGGCTTTCTTAGAAGGTATTCTAGAAGCAGGGGGTTATTTGTTTATTTCGGGKCATTGGCAGTTACTTCACGAGGCTGAATGCAGCAAGTGAATTATTCCAGTAAGATATCTAGGGAAAAACAGGCCTGAAAAGCCTCTCATCTAATGGTTTTGTCCTCGTATGCTTAGGGAAAGTCAGCTCCATGCTCACTGCTCCCAAGAGGTACGCTGCCTCCCATGTGTGTTAAACCCAGTCTACGTTTTATACTAACAAAACTTTTCAGTTTACGTCCATAAAAAGCCTTTTTATCCATTTTTTTTCCTCCTGAAAGAAATTCTTCCACCTTATTTGTAGATGGTGACTCTGCTTGTAAAGGTTTTTCTCCCGAGAAGGTGGGAACGGGAGGCCCGAGTGCTTGTTCCTGGATCCCGGCTGTGTGGGGAGTCTCCGTCTTATCACTTGATCGGTCTTATCACTTGATCGGTCTTATCACTTGATCGGTCTTATCACTTGATCGGTCTTATCACTTGATCGGTCTTATCACTTGATCGGTCTTATCACTTGATCGGTCTTATCACTTGATCGGTCTTATCACTTGATCGCTCATTCACTGCGGGCCCTGCTTGGGAGCAAAGAGGAGAGAAGGGAGGAAGAACCAGGGGCCGCCCGCTCCGCAGCGCCCCAGTTCAGTCTAGCTGTTGTGCTGGTTTATGCCTTCATTAGGGAAGCGTTTCAGTTGCTTCGTTTCCAGATCCTACTGCAGATCCGTCTGGAATGGCTCTCGCCTGCCTGTTCTCTCACGGGCRATGTGAGCAGAAAATCCCTTGGGAGCTTGGGGGCTCTTTCTCTAGAAACCAGCCCAGGGAGCAGGCTTGGGGGCCCTTCAGGCCGTCGGTGCTGGGAGAAGGAGAGGAAAACTGGCCGTGTCCGAGCACAGAATGGTGCTGCTGGTGGCACCYGGGGGTGTAGGTGGCAAGTTGTGCCACGCAGACACCCCCTCCGTCGCCAACAGCTGTGTGCTCTACAAAGCAATGCAGTCCTGGCAAATCTCCGTGGTTTCTGTGGCTCTCCTAAGCACAGATCAAATGGGGACGTGTAGACATCTGCAGCCTGAGAAGAGGCTGTGGGCTCAGAGCTGATGTTAAATGTGTAGTGCTCCTAATATTCGCATAACTGTTAGAAACTGCAACTCTGGGCATCCTGGTGGTGGTTTTAGGGTGAAAACCCTTTCAGCTAGGTTTAGGTTTGCAGTTTGGCCAGGTCATTTTCCTTTCCGTTTTCTGGAAGGTTGTACTGCAGAGCTACATGTATCAGCATCCAAAGTGCAATAAATGCACCTGAAAACTGTTCTTTTTTTTTTCTTTCTTCTGTTGCTTAGATCAGAATTTGGAATATTAGAGGGAAGATGTTGCCATAAAGTGACCCAGCAGAACAGCAGCCTGAACCATGAAGCTTTTTAACTTCATTCTTGTTAGTCATGACGTTTTATGATGTGCAGTGCCTGGAAAAAGTTTACTGGCGTTCATTATTAAAAGCAGTTTATAAGGATTTCTGAGGTCCTCGTGCCAGCACCAGGCAATAAACTCATATATAAAATTATCAGCAACTTAAAACAGGTTTTCTTCTGTCTCAAGGAAAGATAGCAAACGGTGTGTGAAATGCATCTGCTGGCTGGCTGTGTCACACAAGAAGGCTCTGATTTCAGGAACGCCTTCAGTGATCCTCCTTTTCATTCATCACAAAGAAGACACAAATGTGGTCTGCAAATCCCCTTTTTAAATTGTTACAGGTCATAACTCACTTAGAAAGGGTTGTTTGCAAGGTGCTGTGCAGCCTAGAAAGCTGGAGTTGCATCCTTGGGGAGTAGAGGAAAATTTTAGAAGAAAATTGAGAGATTTAAAAACTGGTCTCTTATTTGGGCTGTTTTCATGATGCTTAGRAAAAAAATATGTGTTACGATTTTGCTCCTGTCAGATCTGTTTGAAATGGGATGGGATTGACATGCTCTCTGTCTAGCTTTAGTGCTCCTTCTAAGCAAGGTCTTGTTAAATCTGTACAGAGAACACTTTGCAAAATCCTCAACAGCAGTGGAGACATCCAGAGCTTTCAGAGAGGTGGCTTTGAAGATGACAGCGGCTGGTTTGAAGTTGGGACATGTTCTGGGTTTTGTTCCGTGAAGGCAAAAAAAAAATGCATTGAAGTCAATTCTGTATTTGTGGGCTGAACTGCTCAACTTTTCAAGTAAAATTTCCCCTTAGTCCCTTGGTAAGTAAATGGGATAATTGGCCCGTGTAATTCTGGAGGAAGATGCTGCTGAGACGGTTTTTGGTTTAATTTTTTTTTCTTTTCCTTTTTTCTTCCTTTTGTTTTTTGTTTTTTTTYCCCTGCCCTTAGTGGTGCTCAAGTGGTCTCTCCTTTTTGGAGGGCAGCCATACGCAAACGGCTGCACTTTTATCTCCCAGCACGTAAATAATTAAATCTGGCCGTGGAATGGAAGACAGAGACTGAGGGAGCTCCTGGGGAGAGGGAAACAGGGATTAATACAGATTATTAGAGACTGCTGAAGAGAGGCTGCAGCTGTGAATGGAGAGGAGGGAGTTTGGAAAGGAGGGAGAAAGTAGCAAGGTCAGGGCTTGCAGGGGTGTCTCCCATGTCTCGTCTTGTATTTGCTCTGACAAAAAGACATTTTTTCAGTGCTGTCCTGCACCCCATCACCGCGATCCTGTGAGGGTGAATATCAGCTTTGCCTTTGGCCGTGGCCGCCCGTGCCGCGGAGGCGAGCGGGCAGGTTTTGCCCATCTCCTCCCCGGAGCCGCGCGGAACTGCCCCGTGTCGCTTAATCTTGTTCCCTGATTCTCTTTTTGCAGGCGACCGCTATGTCCGTGGACTGCCTGGGCCAGCGCGCGGTGCTTTCGGGGTGAGTGTGACAATTCCCTTCGGAGACGCCCGGCAGCCCTTTCCACGAGCCGAACGGGCGGCCTTTGGGCTGGCCTCGCCTGGGGAGCTGGCCTGTCGCTTCACAAAGGTGCTGCTGGATTCTCTCCAAGGCTTCACAACAAGGCTCAGGGGTTGAAAACCAGCAGCAGCAAGAGGGGAAAGCACAGCCGAGGCTTCCCTGGTGCGGACTTTGCTGGATCCTCTTGCGGTGGGGTGGAGAATTGGTTATGACCATTTGGCTGCTGTTTGAAATACAGATTAAAGTATTTCTGTAAGACTAAACTTACTTGAAAGGTTGCCGTGGTGCATTTGGGAAGAGGAACCCAAGCTCTCTGCCCCGTTCCTCTGGTTCTGCACAGGACAGTACTGGGCAAAAGCCAAATTTCTGCTGCTTTGGCTTTCTCAAAGTTATTTTCTACCCTTTTATTATCCCATATCCTTTTACACAATTCATTTCTGCCACGGTCACCTATGAGATATTAGCTGATGTGGCAGTGATGCACTCCTGTGCACATTAGTCTTTGCCTGATTTGCCTCTGTACCTTGGATAAATCTGCTGTGGAAGGGACCCTTATTTGCCTCTCTACCTTGGATAAAGGAAGGGGCTTTCTGGGGGCCGTGGGGTGTCTGTGCACACCAAGAGGCTGTGTTTGCCCTGGCTGTGTCACTGCAGCCACACGYAGCCCTGCAGCAGCAGCTCCAGCTGTGGGGCCCTGCAGTAGGTGCTCCAGGCTTCACTTCTAGGCTCCTGTCAAATCCAGGATCGTGCAGATGCAGCTGACCTTTGCCTGGGCTCCATGTCCCCCACCCCAGTCTGTGTTT